CATACATATATATATAGATATATATATATATGTATATATATATGTATTTGTATTTGTATATGTATATGTATATATATATATGTGTGTGTATGATTTTAAATAGAGATTACATAGAACAGGCCTAATGCACTCACCAGCATCCAATTCTCGTACAGTTTCCACCATGGAAGTGTAGTACTTGATGGCGTTGGTACTGGCGGTGAAGTCGCACACATAGGCTCCCACCATACAGAGATCAGTATCCGCTATGTACCGGTATTGCACCTCGTCGACGAACAGAGCTGCCGTGACCTTGCATTCAGCTGGGATGCTGTACGAAGCAGATACGCCCGAGATCTGTGGGCATAAAGACAAAGTAGGCTTAAATGTCTGGTGATAAAATCGCTGGTGTGGCGCGCGTTGAATATATGTCGAATGACATACATATTGGCAAAAGAAGCCAGATCATATAGATAGTCGGACAGATAGTAATTATAGTATATCACCAGGATAACAACGCAGTTGTAGGATTAGCTCATTTGATGTATGTGCACACATGCACAGAAAGTTTTTTAGCTTGTGCCGATTATCATATATATAGATAGTAATTATAGAACTAGCACCATGCATGTGCACACAGGCACAGATGCAGGCTCATGTGTCAAATCAATGTACAAATGCATATCCATTTAGACAATATAGGCACAACAGGCACATGCATGAAAATACGTGCCTGTACATTTCTGCGTATACGCAAATATACAAGTAAAAATATAGAGATGCCTTATTTTCTCAAACTTACTTTTTAAACTATGCATTCCACAAACATACGCTTCGAAATATGCATTTCACAAACAGACGCATTGAAATAAGTACTTCACAAACACACCTTCTGAAATAGGTATTTTGCAAATATACAGGCAGGTACATAGAAATTATATCCCATTGAAGGGGAACTTACCGGTATATTGGCTGAGTCCTGGTATGTGTTTGTTTCGTTAAAATACCACTGCCTCGGTAAGTTCGGGAATCTGAATACACACGGAACCCAACAAGATAAAATTGAGATATAAAATGAAGAGTGGTATGATGTGATACTACCGTAGTCGATCGTTTAGTACATCAAAATAACATATACACACTCCGTTGTAACCTTGTATACTCTATTGGAACTGAATCCACTCTGTCGGGCTAGGGTTTTTGGTTTTTGGCTTTTGAGTTGTGTTTTACCTAAAATTGCGATTTCAATAGCACTCCGTTGTAACTGAATAGCGTTGGGGCGGGGTTCAACACGGACTATGCGGACATAGGCGAACAGGAGTTCAACCCAATCCAAATCTATAATGCTTTCGACAGTTCAGACATATACTGGCTATGCCTGAGCTATTGAAGTATGATGCCGAGCGTGTTCTACACCTCGCCAACCGAAGGAATCAACAACTCATTCCAGATTTAAACACTAATGGACTACACTACATTGGTCACGGGTCGTGGTTTACTTACAGCGCTTGAAGCCCAGCCGGGAGGGATGAACTCCCATCGTATGGGGCGATGTTGTCCGAACTGCGGAGGTTGAGTTTGGGTACACATAGGAGGGATCAGCACGGACGGATGAATTGCAAGGGAAAACAGGGAAGAATGATACAATGCATATGTTGAAGCACCAGAGAACGAGGTGCACACAAACGTATCGTATGAATGACACACTTGTTGTGCCAGCGTGTGCAGAAGCACGAGAAGGGGATACTTATGGAGACGCTTAATTAGCCGGCTTATATAAGATAGTACATCTTTTGAAAGCTTAATTACCACGCTTAATTAGTCGGCTTGTATAGGGTAGGAGAGCCTTTTAGTGTTGTATCATTAGTAAGCACATTGTATGATAGTATTTAGCTGGCGAATGTATTGAGCATTGCAAACTGACGATTGCAAATAAATTCGAAATGGAAAACATATATAGCTTACTACACACATACGTAAGGTACAGCACTCGCGGAGAGCTTTGCATAAGGGATTTGAAAGAGATGCGAAGGGAAAGGATACAGCAAACGACGTGGTAGATACTTACTTCTGAATCGTATTCGTAGGACCGATGTTGATGTTGACCGACACACTGGCTTCTACGGTAAAGGCCTGGGCCACATCCGCAGGTATAGTGTTCTGTATTGTATCGAATAATTATGAATATTAATATAGCATTTGTATGTAACAAACGACACAAACCATAAAATAGAACAGTGTCAATATAGTATCAAATGATAGATGACACAAACTATGAATGACATCAGATAGAAATAAATTTTGAGGGGCTATGGCTCGTTACGAGACCTAGTCAATGATACACAGACAATACTCTCGTAATCGAAACACGCCCAACACCCAACACGACTTGAAAATATATGACATAAGGCACACGACACAACTTGAAAGTATATACGACATACACATGTTAATAATATACAGAACACTTACAACCAATATGTAGAACATATACATGAGAGACATATAGTCAAAATATCCGATAATATGCACAGCCTATACAGTCTCCAAAAAATAATTTACAAACAAAACCAAAATATATCAATCAATAGCGATACACGAAACACTCACAGTGAACTCTATAACTGCAAGAGCACTCGTCGGCTCGGCTGTGTTGGCCGGAACAATGCCTTCGGCTTCATCGGCTCGTACTGTGGCTATGGAACAAAGGCTCGTAAACCTGCAAGAGTATTATCAAATGGTATTATTATTATATATGTTCCTTAATATGACTGATGTATGAACCGCGATTTCATTGATATATGGATTTATGTACTATATATCCGTAATTTTATGTTCTGAGATACTATTGATGTATGTTCCGTGATATTACTGATGTATGTTTAGTGATTGATGTATGTTGCATGATTGTGTATTCCGTGATAACTGATGATTACGTTTTCTATTCCGCATGTTCCGTGCCATTATTGATGTACGTTCACACTACTGGTGTATGTTCTATTGATGGACATTCCGTGACATTACGATGTATGTTCTATTGATGTACATTCCGTGACATTACGATGTATGTTCCTTGATTGTATGGTCCGGAATATTATTGGTGTATTTTCCGTGATCTTGTTGATGCATGTCCCGTGATAATACAATGTATGTTTCGTGATTGTATGTTCTGATATACCATTGTTCGTAAGTGTATGTTCCGTGATTGTTTTTTCCATGGTCTTATTTCCCGTGTATTACTGATGTATATTCCGTGCTTCATGTATGTTCCCTGATACAATTGATGTATGCTTGTTATATGATATTATTTGTGTATGTTCAGTGATTATATAGACCCTGATATTTGATGTATGTTCCGTGATCTTATTGATGTATTTTCCGTGATATTTCTGAATATGTTCCGTTATTATATGTTCCGAGATACTATTGATGTATGTCCCGTGATTGATGTGCATATTCCATGATTGTATTTTCCGCGATATTATTGATTTATTTTCCATGCTTGTATGTTTCATGATCTTATTAATGTATGTTCCGTGATATTCCTGATATATGCTCCGTGATTTTATGCTCGGAGATAATATTAATGTATGTTTCGTGATTGATGTGTATGTTCTATAATTTTGTTTTCCGTGATATTATTAATGTATCTTCCGTGATTGTATGTACCGGGCTATTGAATGTATGTTCCGCGATCTTATTGATGTGTGTATGTATGTTCCGTGATACTCTTGATATATACTCCGTGATTGGATGTTTCAGGAAGTTTCTGATGTATGTTTCATGATTGCATGTTTCGTGATATTACTGATGTGCGTTCCGTGATTGTTTGTACTGTGATACTTCATGTATGTTCGATCTTATTGATGAATGTTCCTTGACTGAATATTCCGTGATGTTATTTATGTTTGTTCTGTGAATGATGTATTTTCCGTGATTGTATGTTCTGTAATTGTATTCTCTCGATTATTTCTGTCTGTTCGGTGATATTATGATGTACTTTCGGTTATATTATTGATGTATGTCGGTATTGTTGATGCATGTTCCGTGATTATCTTGTCCATGATATAAATGTTGTATGCTCCGTGATTGTATGCTCAGTTGTAACACAAACCGATACTGCATGAAATGATTGATACATGTTCCAAGAACGGTATGAAGGACGCTTATTCTCTTATTCCGTGGGTTCGTCCGACTTGAATGAAAAATATGTCGAATTTTTACTTCGAATGTATGTCAATGTATGTTGCCATGGTGACGAAGGTATATTTATCACGTGCACAGAATTGCAACAAGAAATCGTTATTCTAAGTATGTTCATCCACGACTCACCCGCCTTAATCTCCAACAACTAAAGTGAATATCTCTCCGTCGCACTAGAAACTTACTCGCGACACAAAAGGAACATTGTTTAGTGTGTAACTCAACAGCTAAAAAAATATCGAATGTTATAGTATGTAGTGTACATTTAGAAAGTTAACTGTCAATTATTTTTCAAAAGCCATAAAATATACTGGCAAGCTGTATAGCAGGCGAAACCAATAAGTTGCGGATAGAAAGAGATTAATCTACAAGGCTATAATACACACTGGGAAGCTAGAGTGTGCAATGAAATGGTACATACTGTGAGGTAGTGTCTCCGTTTGTACCAGGAAGTGGCAGTGGTACAGCCGATGCTGGAAGGATAGCTGAAGGCAGTTCACCTCCTGACAGCGTCTGACAGAACTGTGAAATCGAGAGAATATTGAGAACAGGACAGATAAATACACACATGCAAACAGGTAAGGCGAAGCAGTAAGAATATATCAAGGCAAAAAATGAGAACGGGAGATGTCAAACAGTGAAAATAAACACTAGTAAGAACGAACAGGAAACGTGAAGGAAAAGTAAAGAACTGGGAAAATCGAGCAGTGAAATATACACAAGCCAAACACGGAGTAAACCGATGGTGCACATAACAAGTTGGTAGAAGACAATACTTTTAGCATATATACTTGACATTGAAACCATACTAATAAATAAGTAGTATGGTGAGTAGAGCAGAATTAGCGGAGGCCGTCATCTTGATACTGGTAGTGAAGGCGATATCGCAAAAGACCATGCACACAAAAGTTTAGAAATCAAAAGTTTCAATGGTTTTGCTGGAAACATAAGGTCGAATCTGTCGGCAGTAATGACAATCATGAACCTATAGACTGTCATAATTAATTTCATGTTATTCTTATCATTCTTGCTCCTGCTAATATGCACATGCATATATTACTACTCACTGCGTGCAATCGTTGTGTACAAAATAGGCAAGATTAGTAGAACTCTGCAAATATTCTCTCATTATCTACAGATATACATTTAATATCGTGTAACTTTAAGGAAAACATACCGCGGATGCATTGGATACAAATTCAGGAAATATGGCTATGTTCGCAATAGTGGCGGTGCTGAATTGTTCGCAAACGGCATCTCCACCAGGGCCTGGCAAAGTAAATATATTGTAAATCAGAAAGAAATTTTGTTCTTGAAGTTCAAGTGATATACACGCAACCATCACCAAAATTCTTTTACTAAATCATATACTTAAGTAGATATATTACTAAACTGACGCAAATTTTACAATTATTATATTACTACTATTTACTAAACTAGTTACTTTAGTGCCATGTTCAAACACCAAATATTAGCATTTAGAAAACGATTCGCACAAACAATCAGTTCCATGCGTGGCATCATTAGTTCTCAGACAGTTCTCAGAAAAACATGCTAGCGATATGGGATTACATGGATATGGTCTCTAAGCTTATTTACTTTGTCGACGTTCGAAGCTGTGGCCGCCAGAAATGCCAAATATAGATGCCGAAGCTGAATGTACACACAGACTGAGCACAGCGACAGCTAGCGTGTTCATTGTTGATCGTTTCATTTTTATACTTGAATAGGTAATTCTAATAAGATGGGTGCTTGCAATACTACAATTCGATATGGCGGATACTAAAATGTGATATAGTGGCTACTACAAAGCAATTTGGTGACGGGTGCTATGTACAATAGATAGAATGTGATCTTTCGATACTTCTCTGTCGATTTAACAATGCGAAACGCTTGTGAACAACAATTTAGGTTGTACCTGCTTTTTAGCCTTTGATAATATCCAATGAACCAGATTGCATAGCCGAAAATATAATGCTATATTTGATAGTATGTGTAAGTTACCATCCAACCAAAAAATGCAGTGCTTTACAGATCAATCAAAAACTGCTCTGCAACTTTGCAAGATTTTCGAGTCTCATCTTGACTCGGGATCTATTGCTTTCAGAGAATCCAATAGAAACGTATTACGTTTTATACATACTGATATCACTGTATCGGATTTGACAAAAAAAGAGTAAAGAGTTTCCGTGTTTCTTTCGGGGTTATGCCTTATGGCCCGCTATGGGTGTATAATTTTTTTTAACAAGGTCAATGGTTGTGGTTTCAAAGTTTCCGAATTTGTTTTGGTTTTGTTTTTTTTGTTTGTTTGCTTTTTAAAAACCAAAACAATCATGAAACATACAAACATTTCTTTTTTAAACAAATTCCAAAGTTTAAAAAAAGACCAAATATTTGATATTTTATAATATATATTTATATATCGCCTTGCGGCTTGATGGAGCGAGTCGTAAACTCCTTGAATTTCCAACAAAAAAAAACACAATTCAAAGAATGTCCAAAAACATCAGACAAAAATTTTCTATGTTCACAATAAATTCTTACAGAATCTATGATTCATGATGGCAGATATCATTGCTCGATCTCAGTTAATAGTTGTACAGATAAATACCATACAAAAACTGGTTACCATTTCATCGCAATAGCGTAGTGCGAACGGATGTTAACAACTTATATGGATATGATCAATTTAGTAGGCTTATGCGTTGGAATATATTTATAGTGATTTTGTTATGGATATGATCAATTTAGTAGGCTTATGCGTTGAAATATATTTATAGTGATTTTGTTTACACAGTTAAGCTTGACAGGATTGATATTACCACATGTCTCGGAATTGAGGAAAGTATTTACTGATACTTCCGTTACAAAACCAAATATTGATCGAAGACAGTGTGTTCTTCATAAACAGAGCAATACCTTTTGACTCCTATTTGTATTACATTGCGAGCAAGTATTGCCTTACATAGTGTTGCAGTATATATACAAGTGCTCTACTAAACATAGTTGGAAGTTTAGCGAGGTAGTCCAATACGTTCTCACAAATGTGCGATTGCTGGAAGATCTGTCACACCCTGATACCAACTAGCAATGAATCGCGACGACTTTTATAATCTGTGCCGCATGTATGTCTCATCGCTTAGTGTAGCACATATACAAATTGACAGCGCAGGGATCAAAATTGTCACGACTTTGTGTAGAAAGTGCGCAATATTCGATAAAATCTCGCAAATCGACTGAATATACCTAGAAGTACCTATTAATGAAAGTTCAGTTCACTCTTGTGGACTCAAGTGTAAATAATTGTGCAAAGTTGCGAAACTCGCGAAACTCGCGAAAAGTCGTGAAAAGTTGCAAAATCGCAACTTCAGCGGAGGATTACAGAAACCCTATGCACAATGAGAATAATCCCCACCGTGTGAATTATTATATTTGGGATCTCTTTGGACCTGCAGTGGGAAATTTCGAAATTTCAACTCTATCGTCAGTTATGGGATTTCGCGGGATTTCAAGGTAAATCGTGAAACTTCAGTGCCAATAGCTGCTGATAGAGTTAGAATTTTGAAATTCTCCTCCGTAGGTCCATAGAGCACCCCAATATGGTACTCTACACGGTGGGGATTTTCCTAACCTGCAGAGAGTCCCTGTATTCTTTCGCTGCAGTTCGCGATAATTTGCGAAATTTCGCGACTTTAGCGACTTTCGCTACTTTTGCGAGTTTTGACGATTATACTCGAGTCGCCACTACTACACTCGAGTCAACAAAACACAACTGGACTATTTTTCATTAGTGGATACTTCTGGGAATATTTAGTCGATTTTCAAGGTTTACTTGAATTTTGCCCTTTTTTTTTCAGAAACTTGTGATAGTTATATAATCTATAAGATGTCAAATTGTATCTTTGTGTTATATGAACGGTGAGGTATACACACGGCATTCATTTTACAAATTGCTAAAGTGGTTTTCAAGTACCAGTTAGTATCATGAAAGATCCCGAACCAGTAGCATGGTTGTGAAAAGTATTGAACCTCGCGAGCGCTTATCTGGGTACTGCAACACTACGCTAGGTTATTTTACTTACTCACACCGTAAAGCAAACATGCTAATATCAATTGATATTATTCGGTGTATAAAATAGATACTGACTTTGAGTATTTGCCGTTGTATTAGTTATTACTTGGTGTATATTTATCTCGGTGTTACCAAGTCATATGATTATCAACTCAAGCTTAACCGTATATTCAATTTCACTATAAGCTATAATATGTTAAGGTATAAGCACACATAGAATCCACACTACGTTATTACGATGAACTGGTAAGATGAAGTGGTAAGCAGCGTTCGCAAAAGGTATCTATCACCTTCATATATGCCATCTGGGTGCATAATAATCACTGTCAGATTTCATCGTGTTTTAAACAGTTTCTCCGATAATTACACGTTATCCGAACGTAATATTGTGATTTTCCAAAATTTACGGCTCGCTCCTGTAAATATAAAAAAACCCACGATGTAAATACAAACCAAGGGAAAAACAAAAAGAAAGCAGTCCGGTCAAACCGAACTGCGAAAGACTCAAACAGGGAAAAAAAACCCCCCAAAACAAAAAAGTGTTTCCAAATTCCAAACCCCAAAAACCAATGTCTTCTAAATTGATTACTTGAACTAGCAAGAGGCTAATCACTCATTAGGCTATTTATTAAATACATATGCTGTCCAAGCCCCAAAGGGCCGCGTTTCAAAAACTTGAAAACGAGTTTGACAACCACAAAAGAAAAGTTAAAAAAATTGAGTGGAGTAACTCGTTTACTCCGGTTTGAATCTCGAGCCTCCCAAAAACTTCGGTGGCAATTGGCAAAACTCGTACAATTTCATCAAACAATTTGAAAACTGCACATTTGTTTTATAAAAACCAACTCAAAAAAAAATATGACTCATTCGAATTATTTACGTATATAAAAAATTGTATATTCCGGAAATTTTGTTCGTCGGAAGAAATAATAGTAGACAATTAAAAAAAAATAGCAGTTGAGTCATACGGATACTGGATCGCTCTACTGAGAGAGAATGGGAGACTGAGCGAGTCGTGCTCTGCCACTAAAGAGTGCAAACTGCAAACTGCAAACTTCATCAAATATTTGAATATTTCACACGGAAAATGTCTACGAAATTTCGTATATCACTACAATACATACCGCTGAATACTTCAGAAATAAGTTTAGCTGATAGTTTTCTTGTGTATATAAGAGATTGGGAAAGTCTCGTATCAGCAGAGGCACGCCCTGCGTGGCCAAAGCGATGCGGGACTATAAACTACACTCCACCTCAGCTATAGCATTTATGGATACAACTACACCCTCATATCTAGTACACTTCACCTGTGTTCCGTACAGGAATGATGCGCACGGTGGCGGGTGTCGTGATGTGGGGTGGACTGTGTTCTCCAGTCGTGACAGGGATCAGGTTACGGTACCCTTATAACAGGTCTGATAGTATACTTCATTTGGCATAGAAGTATCTTGCACATACTCTTAGGATGCGCGCTAGATGAACATGCCTGTTATACTATCCACTCCTTCCTCCGGTACGTGATCACCCCCAGCGGTGTCTCGTTCGCACATGTGCATACGCTCCTCAGTGCCTGTATGCGCCATGTATTTCCCCGGAATGACCTGGACACTGCCTCAGTGTTACAGCGTCAGGCATCACGGTATGCACAGCTAGTTACGTTGTTGTCATATTAATCAGCATATAGTATTAATATGTTGAAATTAGCATGAACGACATACTTGATGGTCCCCTGGGCCGTCAGCGTCAGCTTGTGTATGCAAGTAAGCCTGTAGTCACGGCTGGATGAGCATAGGGTAGATTGCTGCAGTCAATCAACATATTTACTGAAGCGCAATTACAAAAGTCAACTATCGAGAAATCTCAAACTTCAACATTCTAAATCAAGTGAAGAACAATATACAGCACGCAATTATACAACCACAGTATACCTCATTTGTAGCAATATTACATTGGGTAAGCAGACATCAATACATCGCACCCAGAACCAGTACAAGCTAATATACAAAACGTACCCAGATAACCTGAGAAAATGGTGGTTAAAACCGAATTCGGAATGATTCACTCCCAACTGGAGGGTAGCCACAGCGGAAGCAACGACGGTGACGAGAAGAGCACGTGTGTCGACCTATTCAAACACAATGTAGGAATTAATTTCTGTGAGAAATGTGCACCAATAATACCAGGCGTATACCGACCACAGGCGTTGATGTCGACGGTACATTCGCGCAGAGCCCACCACGAGCTCACACGCCAGATGCAGAACAAGATAGCCGCCCAGAATATTCGCGACAGGCGAAAAGCGTATGCGATATACCTCACGCAAGGTATCGAGACACTTACTTTAGATAACATGTCAAGGCAGAAACGGATCGATGACGCCAAAGCTAAACAGCAGACCTTACAGCAGGAGTACGACATGTTGGCACAGGAACTACAGAGGAGGCAAATGGAACAGAGCTTCACAGATGCGGTCATGATGTTTGAGCTTTCGGATGCGGACGCTTCGGATACTTGTGTAGAGTCCTCTGATGACGAGTACTTCGACACGCCGTCTGTGGCGAATGTTAGTTCACCACTACTGTGTCAATACACTGTAGACGAGATAATGGCAAATCCAATCACGCCGCTGACTCCTGCACTGGCAGGCGTCACCGTAGGAAGCCCCGGTTACATTGATACATTCGATACACTGTCTACGCATAGCCCGACTACGAGTTTGACGTTAGATAGTTCTCCTTTGCCGCCGGTCAGTCCAATCATGAGTTCACAGCTTAGCCCATATTCATATACCGATGTGGGAGGTTTGGAAGAGATGGAACTGAGTTCGTTTTCATATTCTCCTTACAGTTTGAGTGAGAGGTAGCCTCTACCAAACATTAGTCTTATAAATCAATAAATACAAATTTCATACACGTAATATAAAAGTCACAGTACTTTCGTACGATGTCTTGCTTGTCTATTTTACTGGGTTGTTTTTTTCTCTTGGTAGATACGCTGTATCTGCATGTTTTAGGACAAGGTAACGCAGGAGGCACGCTATTGTTCCTTGTCAAGTTTAGACGCCTTACAGTCTCGAATTATTCGTCTAATTGCTATGGTTAGACGAATTTAGAGCCCCACATCAAACGAGGTACCTCGCCTAGAGCATATTCGATCTATGTAGGCTTGTTTTCTTTATGTTTGTAAGGTTGATCGATGTAGGCTTATTTGCTCTATGTTTTTGTTAATCTACGTGCCGAGGTAGGTGTAGCCAGAATCATCTCGGCCTATAATACCTGCGTCAGCCAGGTACGCCAATGTTTGCTGTGCCCTGTGCTGTCTCTCCATAGTCGGCGGATAGGCCTGGATCGTGTGATAGGTAGAGTAAACAATTAAATGTGACTGCTTTGTCTTTGTAGAGATATATATGTATGTTGAACGCTGATAGCAATAGTCAGTAACAACCTACAATTGCTGAACCCATGTAACCCCATGTGCAAAGACACTTCCAGGGAACCTCATTCAGCCAGCCCTAAGTATAAGTAAGGATTTTATAGTACGCGGATATCAATGTATATATGTATTAGTATAGTATATATATATATATATATATATATATATATATATATATATATATATATATATATATATATATATAGTATATATATATATATAGTAGTATATATATATA